CGTACACTTCCTACATAAAAAATGTTCAGCCCGTAACCGCAGTTCAAATATTTTAAATAGACCCATCTACACTCATCTTGCTGCGGGTCAAACAAAATATGTCCACAAATTAAAATTCCCAACTTTAGGTTTACCTGCCGAAGAAAAATCTCATGAACGTAATTTTGCGTATTTCAGCTGCTACCGTCACTATTTTGGACCTCCTCTCATTTTAATAAATACCCTCCACCAAATTGCATTTAAAATTCCCTCGCATTTCAGCTGTTACCGTCACCATTTTGGATCCTCGTCTCATTTTAATAGAGGACCTCCACCAAATCACATTTAAAACTCCCTCGGACTGTCTTTTCTGTAATCTAAGTTGTCCTATGTAGTGTATATAATAAATTATGGTTGAAGAAAATTATTGCCATTGATTCCACCTGCTATCCACTCGTTCAACAGATAATTGGGACAACGGTAAGCATGCACGTTGATTGATTATAAATATTGTGATAAAGTACTGTTAGACATAGAATGTTATCATATGTAGTGGAATGAAGCAATCGAGCATATTCGGGTTAGAGTATCCCTGACACATCTCTATTTTTCTTTCTGTAATAACATTTAGAAGCAAATCAATTCTAATTCAAATCTTTGTTCCTGTAATAATACTTAGAAGCAACCGACGGCTTGAAAACCCTTTATTGTCTTTATCTTCTAGGTAGGAACCTTAGCTTGTTCCTTAAAGAAAAATACTTAGAAGCAAATCTATTTTTTTCTTCAATCCGTATACATATATATATGGAATTATATAATTATTATATTTTATGTGAGTTTTAAAACATTTTTATTTATTAAATTAATTATTACAGTCATTGAAGTTCGAATAGTAAATAAATTTTATTTTGTAAAAAATATTATTTATATTATCATTAGATTTTTTAAAAATGTGTTATTTATACAAAGTAAATTAGATAACTAATTAATAATATGAAAACGTGTGGATATCCAAACACCAAATATCCTGATAGTTAGAGATAATTTATTATTTATTATTTGGATAATATCTATCGAATCACTAATACCTTAAAAACATCTCAATTTACTAACAGAATAGTACAATGTATTAGTGTCAGGATAGTTCAATTGCCAATATATTGTATTATGTATACACTTTCTTTGTGGTTTCCTCAGAGCACAATTATCCCTAGGAATGTGTATTAAGGGTGCTTAGAAATATAATATTAGTAGTTAGGGATTTTTTTGGGGTAAGCAACTTGTCTAAGCACTTTCTTAATTGTCCTCTTCCATTGCAAAATTCTTAATTAAGGTTCTTAAACAAAACAACACCCGTGCTGTGACTGTCTTCTTTGCTCCAACGATATCAGCTGCCTTTGCTCTCATCTCACCTTGCCAAACCCGAGATATGAACCCTAATTTGATAAACTTCCAACCTTTGATTTAACATTGAAGTTCTTTCTTGTGAAGAAAGAATGAAACTCTCTGGGAACTTGCTTCGGTTCCTTGTTGATCCCTTCGCTAACAGAGAGATCGGAGAGTTTGGCGGTGCGATGTCTAGGCTCTTTCTGGGAGAAGAAATCAAACCACTGTACATCCTAAAAATATTAAAATTGAGTCAAACAATACACAAGAACACAAAGGACCAAACAAAGACATGCAAAGACAAAGAAATTAAAAAAAAAAAAAAGAGTTTACCTTTCAATTGCAATCAGCAGCAACCGTCGATTTCCATCCTCGATGAGAGCCACAAATTTAATCCCTCGAGGATGGCCACCATGATTCTTCGATGATGGCCACCGCGAAGAGCCAGCGAGAATCGACGAGGAGAGCCATTGAATCGACGAGGAGAGCCAGCGAGAACCACCGATGAATCTCAGACATCAACCAAAACCACCGATGAGATTCATCCTCCATACGACCCTCATCTTTCCTTTTCTTCTGAAACTCGAATCGGAGAAACAAAGAACAAAGACAAAAATGATCGAGTTTTCTTCTCTCTCAAAACATCCATGCTCTCCTCTTTCGCCATGCGTCCCACAAGCCTCGGTGCTTCCAGCGCTTAATTAAGCTACAGCGCTTAAGTAAACCCCTATTTTTCATTTATTTAAATGGCTCATTACACTAAGATCTAGTGTTAAGCGTCCGCAATGCACATGCACTCAGGTAGGTCAAATTAAGCAACGTTAAACATTGGTTGGCGTTTTGGTGGGTTCCGCGAGTGTTCTACGAAAATGAGATGAGCGTAAAGAATTGGATAACCGAGAGAGATAAAATTTATCAAACCAAAAGCTGTTCTTGTTATGCCGCCGATAATGCTGAGTACCATACGCTACAGCGTCACCATCATCTACGACGAATCCGTATAGTATTCTCTTGTCAGCCACCTCTCTGTGGCCTTACGACGGTAAGGCATCTCTATGTCTGTGGACTCATGCGGCTTTCAGAAAGCCAAACCATTCTCTGTTGAACATAATCAAGTGGTAATAGATGGGGCTAGAGTTTTTGTGGTGGTTATTTCCAATATGGTGGAGTTATGCGGTATTTGAGTTGCTAGAGCAGCATTATCCCATATGCTTAGAAGAGAATGCTTAACAAAAAATTAATATAATAATGGATGGATCTTACAAAAATTTTAAGCACCATTGTCTGTGTAGCCTATTTAAGTGTTGGTACTTGCACTGTATGCGGGTTTTACAGACACATGACGGCCTGCAATTGGTTCGTTTATTAATTTTTTTTAATTAGAAAAAAAATTAAAAATAAAATTTAGCATCATATTATGGAATGTTAGAGATAAGAGCATCCGTAATAGGAATCCTTAGAGCATCAAATTGGGTTGCTTATTTATTTTTTATTTTGAAAAAATTAAAATTAAAATAAAAATAAAAAAAGAACCAATCGCGAGTTACCACGTGTCAGTGGAACCCGCAAACAGTGCAAGCAACACCCCAAATCAGTTGCTTATTTAAGCAAAATAGGAGTTGGCTGCTTGTGTTTTTGGTGGGGTCCACACACAAAAAGTGGCTAAGCAACCCACCAAAAACATGGGATAATGGTGCTCTTAAGGGAAAATCTTTAGGAAAATAATAATTAAATAATCAGTGGATCCCACTAAAAGCTAAGGATTCAGTCCTTAAAATTCTTAAATTTTGACTTTTTTTTAGTGAATCTTTACACTATTTGCGGATCCTACAACACATGGCAGTCCGCGATGTTGATTTTTTTTTAATTTAAAAAAGTAAAATAATAATTAAAAGTAAAAAAAAAATACTTTTTCTAAGGACTCCAATAAAGTCTACCATCGAGGATGGTCTAATAATGCTCTTTTAAGTTCTTAAAAGTTATCAAGCGGCAGAGGAAAAGTGGCAACGTGGTGGTTCCAGCCTTCTATGGCTTAGACCATGATTAACCCGGGTTTTTAGCAGAAGTTAAGAACTGTTTCTTAACTTTGAACTAAAAACGCTAAGAACCGGTTCTTAAAGTCCTTATTTAAAAACTAGTTTTTAGTCTTTTCAGTTAAAAGTTAAGAAACAGTTTCTAAGAACCCCGTCTACGCGTGGTTAATCATGCTCTTAGATCCATTGAAAGAAGTTTTTATAATTTTACTGTTCATTTTATAAAAATATTTAATTTGTGGGTTTTTTTAAAGAATTTTATTTATAGATTAATAAAAAACCATTATTCAAATTTGGTTGATCCACACTCTTCCTACATAAAAAAATGTTCGACCCGCAGCCGCAGTTAAAATACTCCAAAATAAACTATCCAAACTGATCTTGCCGCGTGTCAAACAAAACATGTCCACAAATTAAAATTTCAACTTTAGGTCTACCTGCAGAAGAAAAATCTAATGAACGTAATTTTGCGTATTTCAGCTGTTACCGTCAGTATTTTGGATAAAATGAGACCCTCCCACCAAATCGCAATGCAGCTGTCACCGTCACCATATTGGATCCTCCTCTAATTTTAATAGAGACCCTCTACCAAATCACATTTAAAACTCCCTCGGACTGTCTTTTCTGTAATCTTAATTGTCCTATATATATAATAAATTATGGTTGAAGAAAATTATTGTCAGTTTTGATTCCACCTGCTATCCACTCGTTCAACAGATAATTGAGACAACGGTAAGCATGCATGTTGATTGCCAGATTATAAATATTGTGATAAAGTACTGTTAAGACAAAGAGTTTTTTTCATATGTAGTGGAATAAAGCAATTAAGCATATTCCGGTTAGAGTATCCCTGATACATCTCTATTTTTCTTTCTGTAATAACATTTAGAAGCAAATCTATTCTAATTCATCTTTATTTTATAAAATAAAACAAATATTGATATTTTAAAATCTTTGTTTCTGTAATAATATTTAGAAGCAAATCTGTTTTTTTCTCCAATCCGTATACATATATACCAAAATTATATAATTACAATATTTCATGTAAGTTATAGAATTTTTTATTTATTTAAATTATTTGTTATAGTTATTAAAGTTTGAAGAAGTAAATAACATTTTCATTTTGTAAAAAGTATTATTTTATACTATTATTAGATTTATTTTTAAAAATATTTTATTTATACAGACCGAATCAGATAACCAATTAAAAATATCTATGGATATGCAAACACCAAATACGTGGACAGTTGCGTATCAAATCAAATCAGATAATTTCTTAGAGAAAAATTTATCAAATCACGAATATCTCCAAAAATCCGATTATTCTTTTGTTGTCAGAATAGTACAATGTATTAGTTCAGATTACAAAATTTAGCATGTACATTTGATTATCTGGAAATTCGCCATGATTTTTCTTATTTAATTTATTTATATATTGTATTAGGTATACACACTTTCTTCGTGGTTTCCTCAGGTAGGTCAAATTACTAGTGACCCAAAAAGGTGTAGTGAAACCACTTTAACTAAAAACGATTATTTTTTTGACTCGTGAGAGCAACGTTAAACATTGGTTGGCGTTTTGGTGGGTTCCGCGAGTGTTCTACGAAAATGGGATGAGAGTACAGAATTGGAGAACTGAGAGAGATTATAAATTTATGAAACCAAAAGCTGCTCTTGCTATGCCGCCGATAATGTCTGAGTACCGTCACAGCGTCACCATTATCTGCGAGGAATCCGTACAGTATTCTCTTGTCAGCCACCTCTCCGCGGCCTTACGACGGGAGGCCATCTCTGTGTTCGTGGACTCATGCGGCTTTCAGGAAACCAAACCATTTGTGACAGATGGGGCTAGGGTTTCTGTGGTGGTTATTTCCAACATAGCGGACTCATGCGGTCCTCGGGTTGTTAAGTTCTTAAAGGTTATCAAGCGGCAGAGGAAAAGTGGCAACGTGGTGGTTCCAGTCTTCTACCGCGTCGATCCATTGACCCAAGTTTACGGGTGGGCCAAGAGAATGCTGGAGGCCGAAAAACTAACAAGCCACCAATCAAGGTACGTAGAACGTACATGTTTTTTTCTTTTTTAAAAAAGCTACGTATGTATATGTATTTTTTCCGACATGTTTTGCATTAGATTTGAACTAGCATCATGACACAGTAACGAAGGTCAATACAAACGTCTATATATGTAATTTTTTATTTACTACATATTATAAGAATTAGTTGGCGGGAATCAAAATATGAAGAATTCAAATAACATACGACTATACGAGGTACGTAGCCTTTGAGAGGCGTAGATCTAAGAAAAAAAATCCGCCTTTCTCTTCTTCGCTTGGGTGGAGACGTTCCAGCTCCGGCGTGATTCGTCGAATTGCGTGGTGCTCTCTCACCTTCCCTTCTTTCCTTAGGTATCCGCGCATACTGAAGGATTTCTCTACTCCGACGTTATTGGTGGCGCTTCTCGTCTTCTCTGTTTGTTGGTGGGCCTTTGTTGCGAAGGTTTTCTAGGGAGTTTTCGTTGATCTGGTGACTCGTCCAGCTTTGGAGGTGGTACTTTCTGTTAAGAGTATGAAGTGTGCTTATTAGTGGCAGAGCCGGCCCTGAGATTTCAGGACCTAAGGCTATATTTTAACGATTTCAACTAAAATTTTTTTTATTGGATTTGGAGGCCTAAAACTTTTTTTCGGGGGCTTATGTACATATAACTTTTTCTAAAAAATTTAGAGGTCGTCGGGGTTGTAGGGTTTGTTGCGACTGTTGGGAGGAGGTGTTTGATGGCCGAATATCTCAGAGATGGTGGTTCTCTGGGATATTTATCTTCTCCGGCATAGACCTTTCTCTTGACCGCCTAGAAGTGGAGGTGTGCACTGATAGATACTCAATAATATTTCTCCGAATATTCTTTAGTTGTTATACGATTGTTACGTAATCCCTCTGTACTATATATTTTGACGTGAATACAATAGAAACATTTAAGGGAAAATCATACTCTTTCAACATAGCCTCGGACTTAGACCAAAAAAAACATAGCCTCGGACCAATGTGTCGACAAAACAACATTCTCTCACCTCTTTTCTCTTCCTATCTTTCTCTACATTCTTTCTATAAAATTTTATATTTTTTTGGCTATTTCACAAATAAGTCCATTAATATATTGGATAGGTGATGGTCACAGGCTGTTTTTTTTTTCATTGCCCTTGTGATTAACTCATTTTTTAATCGGAAGAGAAATTGTTCTGGAGAAAAAATTTATTAGATCATGTTAGTTTACATAGGAAAATATTACTCCTTTGTTCCTAGTCTACTTCTCTAATAAAATCCGCATATACGTTTCTGCTCATGTGGATATTATGAACCAAGCTCATATTCTCAAAACCTTCCTACAAAAGGCGAAACACATTTATCTCAAAGGTGAAGACTGGTCAATCGACTGAGCTTGTAGTTATATCCACTAAATCTAAGCAGCCAGTCTCAATATGAAACGTGGGGATTTGCATATCCCTCACACACGTCGTTGCCAAGAACAATCCTTAGATCTCAATATGTAAGATTGAGAGGCTTATGTTACATCTAGGGTGACTAAATGATTCAGCGTCCATTTAATAAGATCCCCCCAAAGCCACTAACCAGACCATTATCGATCCATGGCATCGATTTTACTAACCATGATTTAAGGTGTTGACTAGAGGATTGTATTTCATATTAAAAGAATCTATCGTTCTTTACCTTCCAAAATACCAAATGATGTTGAATTTTGATTCAAGTGGAACCACTTGTTGTCTCCACCGAAACATATAGTTCATTTTTTGGTATATAGATGTATTCGGAAAGTAATCCAAAAGGGATGTATATAATTCGTTCAAGTCTAAATATGTAAGGATGAAAGATATTTTTAAAAATGATTAATCGACTTCACTGGAACTACAACAACTGAAACAGTTCTTATGGATACCCATGTTTTTATAAATAAGTCTCTATGCTGTTGCCACACATCTAAAGAGAGCCTGCAAAAAAAAAAACATCACCAATTGGCAAGGATGATAAACACACCAAGATCTTCAAAAGATTTGGAACAGATTATTGAAGGAACATGTTCCTCTACTTTTTTAAAATCTTGGTCTTGTACAGACAGGTCACCGTGCGGCGACTTGATCTTGTAACGAACCGATCATCGTGCGGCGACCTGGTCTTGTACAGACAAATCGCCGTGCGGCGATCTGGACCTGTAGCCGTACAATTACAGAGACAAAGATTAATTCCTCTTTGAGGAGAAATAAAAGATAACTCCAACCATGAGAGAAAAGCTCTTAGGTACATGAAGTATGGATCGATCTCTAGATCGATTATATGATAACAAAAAAAAAAAAGAGGGGTGGCGACCTGGAGAGATTCTCGCGACCACCAAGGCGATCTTACTTTAAGAAGAACACTGAGAGAAGTTGGAGCGTTTAGAGAGAGATTTTTTTCAAAAAAAAAAAAAAACTAATTGAATGACGTAGTTATTAATAAGTGGGTGTCTTCTTATACTTTTTATTTTTTTCTTTGGCAGGATCTCAAGCAATAGGATACTCACAGACTCCGAACTAGTGGAAGAGGTCGTCAGAGATGTGTATGGGAAGCTGAATCCTGCAGAGCGGGTTGGGATTTACTCGAGGCTACTAGAGATCGAGAACATGCTTTACAAGCAACCGATGAGAAACCAAAGCATAGGAATTTGGGGTATGCCTGGCATAGGCAAGACGACCCTCGCAAAAGCAGTCTTTGACCACATGTCCAGTGATTATGATGCGTGTTGCTTCATCGACCATTTTGATGAATCGTTCCATAAGGTGGGCCTTCACCGTTTGTTCCAAGAAAGAATTGGTGCAATTCTAGAGGCAGAGTTTGACATAAAGAGCTCTTATGTTATGACACCGAGCCTCTATAGTGATAAATTATGCGATAAAAGGATTCTCCTTGTTCTAGACGATGTGCACGATTCTCTGGCTGCAGAGTCTTTCCTTAGAAGGCTTGATTGGTTTGGTCCCGGAAGTGTGATAATCATAACCTCCATAGATAAACAAGTGTTTTCCTTTTGTCAGATCAATCAGATCTACAAGGTTCAAGGTTTAAATTGGCACGAGGCTCTGCAGCTATTTTCCCAAAAGGCATTTGGACAAAATGTGCCAGACCAGAATGACATGGAACTGTCATTGAAAGTGATTGACTATGTTAATGGATACCCGTTAGCTCTCAGTATATATGGCCAAGAGCTAAAGGGGAAAAGGTCAGGAATGGAGGCTGCTTTCTTGGACCTCAAGAAATATCCTCCCCAACAGATTCAAGATGCGCTGAAAAACGTCTATAATGCACTTGGCGACAACGAGAAACACATTTTTTTGGACATTGCTTGTTTTTTCAGGGGAGAAAATGTCAGCTATGTGGTCGAGATGCTTGAGGGATGTCGTTACTTTCCACGTGTTGGAATAGATGTTCTTGTGGATAAGTGTCTGGTAACTATTTCAGACAACACAGTGCAAATGAATGAACTGATACGAGACATCTGCCAACAAATATTCATTGGAGAAACTGAGAGCTGCACCAGAATATGGGAATCTACCAACATCAGATATCTACTAGAAGATTATGAACTTGAAGCATGTGGAGGATCCAGAGCAACGCCTAAGTGTGATTTGGTTTGTCAAATTCTACTATACATAATACATGTGCATACCTCATTTTCTCTTTAGCCACGTTCATTGTTTCTAGTTTTGAGAATAGTTTTTGGGTTTTGTTTTTACAAAAACCATTTTTCACCCTATCAGATAATAAACTGATATTTACAAAATAAATCCAATATTTTTTTTAACTTATCAATAAAATAAATTTAATTATTTGAACTTAGTCAATAGAAAAACTATATATTTTTATGATTGTATTTTATATTTTATAATCATTTTATTAAATAAGTTTATGTGTGGTTTGATGTATTTTATATTTTTTTCAAAATAAATATTTTAATTTTCAGAATAAACCGTTTATATTTTAATAAATAGCAAAAATGAAAACCAAAATCTAAACCAACAGTTCATGATTTTTAAAAGGTTAAAATAAATAAAAACGATTACTATAAAAATAAGTTTCAGTATAAAGCATTTGTTTTACATATATAGTACATATTAAGAACATTTTTGTACGCTTTCCAAGAAAATAAAATAATTTATTTATTTAATTTTATGTAAAGTTTACATGTTTTAAAAAAATGAAATTACATATTATATGTATTTTACCAACTATAAAAAAATAATTATTCTGTTTTTATTAATTGTCTAGAATGAAATATGTTTTAAAATCTGTTATTGAAATTTTATTTTGTAATATTTGAATTGCATAAATTTAATTCAGTTTTACCATATTTTAAAAATATAACTAAATTTTATATACTTTGTTTCAAAATCGTAACTATGAATTGTGTATTTTCGTCAAGACATAAAGTTAAATATATTTTAAAATTAGATATAATTTTTATTTAATAATATATATTTTAACATACTTTATATAAATGTATTTATTTTGGTGATAAAAATCGAATTCTTTTTGTTTTTTAAAAATATATATATTTTATTACTAATAATTTATTTTAGTTGAAAAACAAAAACCAAAATCTAATGTCACCATTCAAGGTTTTTGAAAAACTAAAAACAACAGAAAAAATCAAAAATCAAAATTAAAACCAAAATCTATAAACTAAAAACCAAAAGCCAAAAACAAAAAACAAAAAACTAAAATCTAAAAGCCATGTTAACATTCATCACCTTATTCATCCATCAATTTCCTTCTCGTTTTTTCAGGTCGCTGAAGACACTGAAAGCATATCTCTGGATACATCGAACATGAAATTTGATGTCAAACACGATGTCTTCAATAATATGTTTAATCTTAGATTTGTGAAGATATACAACAGTTCCGGCTCTAAAGATGTTCGTGGACTCAATTTCCCAAAGGACCTGGATTCTCTACCTTGTGAGCTAAGGCTCCTCCATTGGGAGAACTATCCATTGCAAACCTTGCCTCAAAATTTTGACTTTGAGCACCTTATTGATCTCCGTATGCCTTACAGTCACCTTCACAAATTTGGGGCAAGATCCAAGGTAAAGAAAGTTTAGTTTTCATTTTTATCAATCCCACTAATTAGTACATTGCTGTCGTTCATTTACATTATTTTTTTTATCATATGATCAGAACGTCAAGATGTTGAAGAGGATCATGCTTTGTCATTCTAAAGAGCTAGTTGAATGTGACATTTTACTATATACTCAAAATATAGAGCAAATTGATCTCCAAGGTTGTACAAGATTGCAGAGTTTGCCAAACATGAGTGAACTACAGCATCTCCGAGTTGTAAATCTCTCAGGTTGCACAGGGATCAAAAGCATCCGAGGATATCCACCAAATATTGAGGAATTGCATCTCCAAGGAACTCATATAGTAGAGCTACCAATATCCAATGTGACCCACACCCTGACAGCTAAACTGGACCGGAAAAAGCTTTTGAGTCTTCTAGAAAACTTGCAAGATGTTGATCATATTGATCTTGACAGCGTAACAAGTCTTGCTAAAGTTGCCTCAGATAATCATCAGGATTTTAGAAAGCTTGTTCTCTTGAATATGAAAGATTGTTCTCAACTGCGAAGTCTTCCTGACATGGTAAATTTAGAATCTCTACAAGTTCTTCTTCTGTCTGGGTGCTCAGAGCTTGAGGAAATCAATGGTTTGCCAAGGAACCTGAGAAAGCTATACCTTGGTGGCATCGCAATACGAGAAGTGCCACCGCTTCCCCAAAGCCTAGAGTTCTTGAATGCTCATGGTTGTAAGCATCTCAAGTTAATTCGTTTGGATTTTGAGGGGCTTCCTAGGCACTACACTCTTAGTAATTGTTTTAGTCTATCTTCAGAAGTGGTCTCTGAATTTTTGGAGAACGGTTTGACTAAATTAGCAATGTTAGCTAGCGAACAACAACAGGTGAATTTATCTTGCATGAAGTGTATATATATATATATATATATATATATCTATTCTCATGCAGATTATTTGACAGACTTTTTTTTTTTTGGCGTTACTTGAATATATAGGAACCCCTCAAAACATCCGCAGTCAACATATGTATTCCTGCAGACGCACGTCAGAAATCCTCGTTTCTTTCAAGTTCAGGTCCAAATGTAAAGATAGAGCTAGCTCCTTGGAACCGAGAAGCTCTTTCAGGCTTTGCTATGTCAGTTGTGGTATCATTTCGAGATGATTACCACAATGTCGTAGGTCTAGGGATTAGGTGTACATGCACATGGAAGACCAGGAACGGCCATGCTGATGAGATACAAAGAGTATATCACTGTTGGGATCCAACAGAAGCTCCAAAGGTTGAAAGGGATCACATATTTGTGATTTGCGATACAGAAATGCATCGACGTGGTGGTGAAGAAATCTTTTCTAATATCTCAGATGATGAAATCAAATTTGAATTTCAGACAGTGAGTGGGGAGAACAAGCTTTTAGGTGATAGTTGCATGGTGACGGGATGTGATGTCCAGGCAATTACGGATGGAACAGGTGACACGACCGTCAGTGAAATAATTGAAGTAAGTCTTATTGAAGAAGATACTCCTCCTTTGCTCAAAGAGCCACAGGCAACGACTTGTTCTCTTTTATCCAGTGAACCACAGAAGTCCCCTGGTTACGTAACTACTGAGGGATTTGGAAAAACGGAAATGGTTGATAAAGACTTAGCAACTGGGCAAGCAGTAAGACAAAGCTCCACAAAGGAGACGCATGAAGAAGACAGTACACACGAACGGGAAAATAACGAAGGTGGAGTAGGTTGTGTTTCCATCCCAACCAAAGACCTACCAATGGAAGAAGCCACTCGTAAAAGCACCATAAAGGAGTGGCTCAAAAAACATGCACTAGGTTGTGGAGTAGGTTGTTTTCCCCTGGTGATATCAAAGTCTCCCAAAAACTGGTCAAACGGGAAAGAGGCAGACAAATCGCGACAAAGGAGTGGTAGCAAATCTGGACGCTCGCGTCCATGTGACTCGTCCGGCAAGGTTCCACGATTCACTTTGGGCGTTGATGGATGGCCCATCGCAGGCCATCATATACAACGTATTGACCTAAGTTCAGCCCAGTCGAAAAATGCTCCTATAAGTAATGTGGTGCGCATCATATGAGATGTATGTGTGCATCATATATTCATTTTATATGTAGAAACCCCTTCAGACTTTGACAGAGGTTGAGATTTTAATTCTCAGAAAAAAACTGATTTTTTAAACAATTATGTTGATTTACAAGGTATCATAAACATAGTGCAAATAAACTTTGTTAGGTGTGAATCTTCATAGAATATTTATGTATAAATCATCATAAGACAAGTAATAAACTATCTATATATCATAATTATAATATCATAATAATAAATTACTGTTAAAAAAATAATTTTGATATTATTATTTAAAACATATATAAAATAGAACTTGACAATAGAGACTTTGGCTTTTAGGCTGTGGGTTTAAACTTTAGACTATAGAGATTTTGGTACGGACTGTTACTTTAGGTTGTAGCTTTAAACTTTAGACTATAGAGACTTTGACTTTAAAACTTTGGCTTTTGTCTAAATCTTGAAATTGTGGCTTTAGAAAAACATGAACATAATAGAAGAATTTTTTAAATAATTGGCTTTAAAGGCTTTACACGGTATTTAAGAGGCCTAAAACCTAAACTCATTGTTTGAAATTTTGACTTTAATGACTTTACAAAACCTAAAGTCTGATTGTTTAGAATTTTGACTTTAATGACTTTACAAAACCTAAAGCCTATAAAGCCGGAATACCAATTGGACTCATAATACATTCGAAAAATAAAACTCGTTCCTGAGCGCGGATAATCGATCCCATTACAATTGTTCTAGATTTGGAGTTCATTTGGATATATTCCCCTAAATATTTGTTTTATGTACTAAAAAGATTTAAATATTTGTTTTTGTTAAGAAATGAAGATGGTGGTTGGGACATATCCGGAAATGGACCAGACCACATCAGTACCATACCAGGCGGCCAAGCATCAGTCACTATCCTCCCTTGTATTTATCCATATGTTGTAGTTATCCTAATCATTATAGGATTAGGATAATCATCCCCTTTATTGTTGTAATCCTTATCTCCTAAGGAATATG